GAATGAAAGAACAATACTTGTGACAGGAGAGGAAGAAAATTCCGTTATTTATAGGCTTTCATCTCAGTAGGTACCTCTTGCAATACTTAAGATTATTCAGTGAGGTAATTTTTTTCCCCAGCAACTGCAGGGACGACAGGCATTTTTTGATAATGAAAGAATAGCTAGTAAAAACAATTTCAACACATGGATTTTTAAACCAGCACCTCAAAACAAAATACAGGCTTGACTTCTCGAAGTTATATTAAAGGCATCCCTTTGCTCGCATTACTTCCAAATCAGCCCGTTAGATACAAGACAGATACGTGCCAGGAGCACTAAACACTAACTCTACTGATAACCCTGTGATACCTGCATACTTACAGCGATAAGCCAATTTTACCTTTACCTCTATGATCCTACTGTGCAAAGACGGAACAGGGCACAGAGAGGCACACATGCCATTCGCAGGACACCCTTGGGAGGCAGAGAGGAACATTGCCGCAGTGCGTACAGAGACTGAACAGTCACACATTAATTCTGCTCGAGGGCTATACTGCTATAGCAAAGACATAGTTCATGATCTCAAACGTTTACTTCTACTGTGCCTATCAAATTTTATCGGGTTGCCCTGTGAGACTACCATCACTCCTGTCACTTGCAATGAGGTGGTCCTATCAGCCCCTCGGCAACTTAACTCTCTGGCAACATGTTTATATGGAAAAGCCCTCAATACAATCATAATTGATTTTGATACAATAAAGGATTTTGTCCTTTCTGGAAGTCAAGTACTTTCTGTAGCTGGTGTAATCCTTCTCTTTCCATCTATTTCCCTCCTACAGTCACTTCTGATGGAAATGGGAGCTGACTTTTTATTGCTGTGCTTTGCATGCAGTCTTCCGGCTATTTCATAACCTCACTCTACCCAGACCAACTTCCATGGTGTTATTCTCCTGCCCTAGAGTTCTGCAAGTCACTTGGTCATTTCTCCCTTCCCAATTCCCTCTTGTTCTCTCTCCATACTGCTTGGCTACTTCATTCTCTTCTCCCATAGATACGCCTCACTCACTGACATTTCACGGTTGGCAGTGATTCCTGATGGATACTCTTCTGTCTATCCAGTCCTATAAAACAGATTTTCAGAGTTGCTTAGTCCACAGAATTGACACCTAGTCATGTGCTTCCCATCTTTTAGGTGCCTAAATGTCTTTTTAAAATCTAGTCTGTGAACCTGAACAAAGACATTCAAGTATTTCTAAACAGAACTAAGAAAAGGGAAAAAGTCCTGTGCTACAGACCATTCGATTCTCTGTAGACCACCAAGAGAGATGACATGTGGACTGAACTGTGAGACCAAATTGATGTGAGAAGATATGGTGAGCATTCATAGCCATCTGACAGATGCCACTCCCAAATTCCATTGGATCACACATCATCCAAAGAATAAAACACAAAACTTTGAAGAACCCTATGTAAATTTTCACTTCTGCATGCACTTAATAGTGCTACGTGTTTATGGACTCAAGAGTAAAACACATTTTGAACTTGGCTGCTGGCCATTTGCCTGTGGAAGTTCAGGGATTTTCATTGGCAGAATCCCAGAAAAACACAAGGGCACATAAGGCTGTGCTAGAGGCAGGTCTTCTAGCTGTAATACACGTTTTAAGAGTACAAGAAGCCTTTCACTGGAGTGGGTGGGCGAGACCAACCAAGAAGGAATGATTCAGAAAAGGGTGGGGTCTTGGTTGGAGGCAGGATGCTTCATTTGGGCACTAATAAAACTGCAGCACCAATTCAAATTGGTTTCGGGACTCCAGTGTATCACCCTGTTCTCCCCAAGCAAGGGAACATCCCTCCGCCCATCTTGAGCCCTTATCATCTCCTCCTCTTGCAAGGAACTCACAATTTCTAGTACTTGTTGAAGAGACAGTTACCTCCTCAAGTCTGTAATGCAAACCAGGCTGCTGCCACAATTTCCTTGACTCCTAGCTGTGGATGAACTCCAGATCTCCATCTCCAGACACTACTTAAATTCAAGCATACTTTCGCAGACTGCTGCTCCTTTTTTCTGGTTCCTGTTCCAGCAAACTTCTTTCCTAACTCTGCTTCTCCATTCCTCCTACTTGGTTATTTGCCTCCTAGTCCCAAAAAACCTGTTCATCAAGAGTGTTTTACTGTCTACTAGCTGACACTTGGGCCCTTCCCCATCTGTTGTTCCTTATTTATAGGCTTTGTTTATACTTCTTTAAAGGACTCAAATATCAGAATAGGGTTTGGGGCAGGCTTTCATTATGTCCTTAAGACAGGGCTGACCATCTTCATCGATACAATCATCCCTCTGAATTTCATGCTCTCTCTGCCAGAAAATACCTTGCCTAAGTAAATGACTACACAGAATCAGGCTACAGCACTATATGGCTCCTAAAGTACTGGCTGCCGTATTTTCTGGTTTTGAGGACTTAAGAAGGGAGATCATGGTCTCCCTTCTTATTTCCTTGGTTCCTTGCAGGTTACTCTCCTTCATCCCCACGCTTCACTCCACTATTCTTTATTATGAAGGACAACTACTGGGCACCAAATGAAGCTTAAATGGTTGAAGGAAAAAAACCAAACCAAACCAAAATCAAAACGATCTGTATTATAATGGGAGTTGGTGGCAAGAAGCAGGAAAAAATCCAACAGTGCAATCAAAAAAAAAAAAAAAAAAAAAAAAAAAAAATCAATCCTGTTGCTGTGCAGTCAGCACACTGCACGAAATATAAGGAAAACAGCAGCTCTCACATCACTCAACAGCTACCTCTTCAGTTCATTAAAAAGCACCAGAGAAAAGCTTGAAAGACAGCTTGTCCTCCACTTTGAAATCCGAAGAGCATCTTTGGGATATCAGCAGGAGAAAGAGAAAAATATATGCAGAAAACAGAAGAGCAAGCAAAGAAAGGTAAAAAAAAAGATCACTTTAAGTAGTGAAGTGATACACTGCACTAGCATACATAGAAGCTAGCTCGTATTAGCATTAAAAAAAAACCCAAAACCCAAACACTCAGATGTCTTTTCTGCCACAGACACAGTTAGACACTTTTTTCTCACTCTGACTGCTTCCTTTCACTTAGAGCTACATACTCACACTGATGTCAAAAGGGGCTGAGCAAGTACAGCAATACGAAGCATGTACCTGGCCTAATGCAGTTTCATCTCTGCAAGCAAGCCCTGCTCAGAGTGACAAAGCAGCAAGGTCAGGCTCCTGCAGGTACATTATCAGCACGTACCCACTGGGCTCTGGGCGGTATTTCTTTATACTGCCTACATACAACCATAGGTCCCATTTTTTGGGGCACCAAAGTTAAGTACCAAGGGTTAAAACGAGATGGCTAATCACATTAAGGGTTGCAGTTTAGTCTCAATAAGGAAAATCTCTAGAGGATGGCAGGAACAACTGCTGCTAGCTCTCTGTCAAGAGAGTGAGCCAATGCGAACACAGATCCCAATTCTATCTGGCTTTACAAAAGAAAGCAACAAAAGCATTTGTACAAAACTACCATTTTTAGTACAACAGATGCTGCTTCTTGCAAGCAAAGCTAAAACAACATGCTTGCAGCAAGCTTTCTAAACAAGGTCTGTGGGAAGAGAGGACATATGTTTTTAATAACATCTTATAAACATTTACAGGAAGCAGCAGCTACATTCCATATAAAGGCATTTAGTGTATTTTGTGAAGCATGGTGTAAGGGGGTAGGAGGAGGGCCTCAGTACAGATAATTAATTTCTTCGTATTGAATGCTTACACAAACCCACAACAAAGGTTTTCAGGGCCTCTGCTGCTTCTCTGCATATAAATACACTCATATGCAAGGGTCTATAACAATACATGGTACCAAGTACGCAATACACTTTGTTTTTGCCATTTAGGGTTTGATCACTTAAAAAGCCAATCTTGAGTTGCACGCTGGAAAAGAAGCATGGCAGCACAGCACAGTTAACTATACCAGTGCCAGCAAATGGTAGCACAGCAAAGCTGGCAGACATCACCAACTGCTGTTGAATAGACTGAGGCACCTTCCCAGTGAGCAACAGCAAAAAACGGCTGCTAAGATTCCAGGTCGGTAAATCACCTCTCAAATGCCATCCAGCATACGTGATTTGTCCAATTTCTCAGGGAAGGTAAGGTGACCTTTTGAGAGCCAGACGTTTCACAAGCTGCTTCAAACACACTTCCTGCTTCAACTGCCAGTGATTTAAAACTTCTTGTGCAACATGAAGATGCCATATATATCTAGACCAAATTACTGCATGAAAATATTGCTCAGCCTTTCTGAACCCAGCCTTGTAAAGCAGATCAGGTATGTGAATTCCAATATATTAAATTCAATCCAAATTATGAGATAAGCAGACAAGCAGCCTTTCCACTCCAAGAATCTGATGCTCCTCCTGTCTAGTATTTTACAAAAAACAACCAAACAAGAAGCCACAACAACAAATAAAAGCAGCCAGGCCTATTACACCACCAAGATTTAGTGTTTCAGTGTGCAGGGAGTTTTTAAGCCCTTTCCCAGACGTGTTTGGTCTGAAGTTGCTTTGCTGGTCCACTAACAGCCATCTGCCTAGCATCTGTCCGAGCATAAAGACAATACAGTGGTTTTCAGGTAGCCACAAAGACAATCTCACGGAAATAGGTATCTCTGAAGATGTCTAGTTTTAGTCTAAAAGAAACTTTCTCATAGCAATACCTGCATCTGACATACAGCTTGTATTTGGAGTGAGATTGTCCCCATGCCCACCAGTATTAAGTGCTATAATTTCAAACAGATGACCTTCCAAAGTCAGTCCAAAAAAGACACTAAGCCCCTGCTATTCCCACTGACGAAACAGTTCCCACTTGAATAGGTGCTAAGCGTTGCTTATCATTCCTGGGTATTGTCACTATAAACTAGAGTTTCTTATCGCTCTGTGTGAAAGACAGAATTCTAGGCAGGGTTTCCAATTTAAACCAGTATTTATCAATAAATGCCTGCAGGACATAGTACAGCAGAGCGCTATGAATAAACAATGAGAACTGCTCAGAAGTTGGGACTGCTCAGTTTTAAGTTCTGTGAAGTCTCAGAAAAATCAATTGCACTTACGAGAACAATCACAATCCCAGAAGGACAATACACAGAGTACCTGGGGTGTGCTTAAAGCAGCAAGAGGAGTTAGCACACTGCACAGGCTCAGGATGGGGTTTGCAAGTAATCACCACTCTGGTGTCTCGGAATTATCTTTTCCAAATGTTCACTGGGGGCTGTGCACATACCGAGCTGAAAGCAAATGTGATGATTCTCAGTCCAATTCAAAATGTTTATCAAATGATATAAAAATGACTGGACAAACTTAGAAGGCAACACTTAGCCTCATCTTT